TTTAAACATTTAAAATAAGTGGTTGGATTTAATTTAGAAATCTTTACTGCATATTAGAATATTTGGATTTCTTAGCAAACCTTAGCAAACACTCCCTGCAGCAGAGGCACAGTAATCACAGAGCTCTGACAAGCATTTATGATCACTCCACACCCTTGTCTTTTTTTGCTCCTCATTCAATCAACAGAGCACAACAGAACGTCAACATGTGCCACTGCATACAAATACACTATCATTAAATATACATAATTATTCAAAACCACAATATCCATCACATTTAACACTGAAGATTTGGATTGGGCTATTTTGCTAACAGACTCAAGAATCTCCTCAGACTAATCTATCTAAAAACAGTTAGGACACAAATAAGAAACTAACTGCTTAAACTAATTAGCTAAAACAAATGAATGCAGTAATTCGAGCCTGAAATAGAGATAAGTTGATTTAGAAGAATTTCAGATATTTATAAGGCCCTTTAGGGAAAAGCTTTAGTTAAACTGATGGGGGAATGTCTTACCTATGGCCTGGGTCCTTTGGACCTTTCAATGAGCCCAAATTGATTCCTGAACTGGTGGTTCTAAACAGCCCCTGGACTTTAAACTCTCTGCACAACATATGTCCAACTTGACCTCCAAGTCATCTCTACAAATAGGCACCAGCTGTTTGCATCTGTCCCACACTTTAACTGTTTCCCTCTTTAGAAATTATAACCAACCTGGTGGCAGTTTAGGAAAAAAAGAAGACATAGTCTTACTTGATAAACTATATTCCAGCTCAAGCACATGTATGTTACAGCAGAACAAGAAAATGTTTGCTGGAACATCAAAGGACATCAGCAAAAAGAAAAGCAAAAGGTCAGGATAAATAAAATATTGCAACTAAATCTATGGGGGATGAGGTCCAAAATTAAATTTAACTCAGGCAGAATCTCTTTGTAGTTACTCTCTTTCTTTATATATTCACGCTCTGACTCCTATGATGCAGTTCAGTTTTATTCAATACAAATTAATTCAGCTTATTTCTATAGCTCCAGTTCACATCATGTTATGAAATCTCACTTTATAGATCCAGGTTGGTCAGATCATCCTGTTAAATTAAATATTCAAAGTTTTCTATTGAAGGAAAATCAGCTGGTTGCATCTAGTAATTCACTTTCAGGACATGCTCCACCTGGATGAGCATGTGGGGATGATTCGCACTTGCATTTTGTTGTTGACTCTTTAGCAATACCTCACACCAATAATGCATGCATGGACAGTGGAGAGGAAATCTGTCTTTTAACAGCAAGAAACCAACAGAGCCAGAACAAGGTTCAGTGTGAGAGGCCTTCTGCTGAGGCCGACTGGGGTTCAAGGATGGAAGAGAAGAAAATCCAGTTAGTCACAGTAAAAGAAACAGGACTAAATCTGAAAAACAGGCCAAGCTCCAACATCTATAATCTAAGGTGTTCTCTCCAGGATTAAGTGACCGTTGATCAGGAAGACATCAGATGAAACTATCATGAGGAAAAACAGAGAGAGCATTAAGGTTGAAAATAAGAGTTCGGCATTAGATAAAAAAAATCCAACATGCATATTGATATGACTACAGCATGGCAAACAGGAACCGCTGCTATGCATCAAGTCACAGCTGCTGCAGGCGCTGCATTAAGGTATAAACAACAGCTAGTTTTTAAATCTGAAACTTTAATAAGTGGAATGAGATATTGCTGTGATACTGTGACTTAAATGAAATTAAAATCTAATGATCTGTCTAATAAAATCTAATTTACCTATGAGGGAAAACAAGCGATTGGTATGCCATGAAAAGCAGTACCGTTAAAACATCAAAACAAACCACTTTTCTTGGTTAAATAAAAACAAAAAAATTAAATACAACAATTTAATTATAATTTGTAAGTTATTTATACACTCACCGGCCACTTTATTAGGTACCCCATGCTAGCAACGGGTTGGACCCCCTTTTGCCTTCAGAACTGCCTCAATTCTTTGTGGCATAGATTCAACAAGGTGCTGGAAGCATTCCTCAGGGAGTTTGGTCCATATTGACATGATGGCATCACACAGTTGCCGCAGATTTGTCGGCTGCACATCCATGATGTGAATCTCCCGTTCCACCACATCCCAAAGATGCTCTATTGGATTGAGATCTGGTGACTGTGGAGGCCATTTGAGTACATTGAACTCATTGTAATGTTCAAGAAACCAGTCTGAGATGATTCCAGCTTTATGACATGGCGCATTATCCTGCTGAAAGTAGCCATCAGAAGTTGGGTACATTGTGGTCATAAAGGGATGGACATGGTCAGCAACAATACTCAGGTAGGCTGTGGTGTTGCAACGATGCTCAATTGGTACCAAGGGGCCCAAAGAGTGCCAAGAAAATATTCCCCACACCATGACACCACCACCACCAGCCTGAACCGTTGATACAAGGCAGGATGGATCCATGCTTTCATGTTGTAGACGCCAAATTCTGACCCTACCATCCGAATGTCGCAGCAGAAATCGAGACTCATCAGACCAGGCAACGTTTTTCCAATCTTCTATTGTCCAATTTCGACGAGCTTGTGCAAATTGTAGCCTCAGTTTCCTGTTCTTAGCTGAAAGGAGTGGCACCCGGTGTGGTCTTCTGCTGCTGTAGCCCATCTGCCTCAAAGTTCGACGTACTGTGCGTTCAGAGATGCTCTTCTGCCCACCTTGGTTGTAACGGGTGGTTATTTGAGTCACTGTTGCCCTTCTATCAGCTCGAACCAGTCTGGCCATTCTCCTCTGACCTCTGGCATCAACAAGGCATTTCCGCCCACAGAACTGCCGCTCACTGGATGTTTTTTCTTTTTTGGACCATTCTCTGTAAACCCTAGAGATGGTTGTGCGTGAAAATCCCAGTAGATCAGCAGTTTCTGAAATACTCAGACCAGCCCTTCTGGCACCAACAATCATGCCACGTTCAAAGTCACTCAAATCACCTTTCTTCCCTATACTGATGCTCGGTTTGAACTGCAGGAGATTGTCTTGACCATGTCTACATGCCTAAATGCACTGAGTTGCCGCCATGTGATTGGCTGCTTAGAAATTAAGGGTTAACGAGCAGTTGGTGTACCTAATAAAGTGGCCGGTGAGTGTATGTGGAGTTTATGAAGGGTTCAAACTCCTCCCACTCAGTTCACTGCGGTGTGAAAAACACAGACAGAACCTGTGGGTCGAGTTTGCAAACTCACTGGCTAACTCTGGATCTCTACTCATTCCTTCCAAGGAAAAAGCTCAACAAAGCTTTGAAAACCGCCTGAAAAAAAGTCAGCAGATTCCAAACACTTGGAAATCAGAAGGATAGAAGAAGCAATGATCAAATAGAGAAATGCATGCCCTTAGACGAGCAGCGGTCGAACAGGTGATGCAACTATTAGGTGAAGCCAAAAGGTAAACCAGAAGGTAATAGATGAAACCAGGAGCAACTGAACAGTGGCAAAGGTCAAAAAACATGGAGTTGCAGCAAAAAAATACACTCCCCATTTCTCAGCAGCAATACAACCGGCTGTGTATTATTTGGAGAACATGTTATTCTATTTATTTATGTATGAATGTGGTAGTGCTGGACATCCGTATTTCCCTGTCCTGAATTTCCGAACACTGAGATTGAATTACACGGCGTATAATTCAGTCTGGTAAACCGCTGTGTAAACAACCTATCAATCTGACTGGCCAGGCTACAGAATCACAGCTGCCAGAGAAGAGAATGACTAAAATCTGTCTAGTCTTTATAAATGATCCATGTTTCATTTAATGTCTGATATCTAAACTCTTGTGGCTTCAATACATTATATATTATCCAGTATATTTGGCCCATTAGTGGAGTTGATGAGCCTTAGAGGGTCCAGTTGTGTCTGTGGGAACATCAGCCATGCCACTGTGTGCAGCGCCAACCTGCAGGTGTTTCATCTGCTCTGTGTTTGAGCCGTACTGTCGGACTGGGAGAGTGATGAATGACAGGCACCACTGCTGACAGATGATAGAGCCAGTCAGTTCACTGCTCATCTTTTTAGGCATGAGCCCTCAAGGACAATCTATAGCAGAAACTCTTGTTTGAACAGCCTGACAAAGTTGTTAGAGTTTTGCATAATCTAAACGAACAGTTCTAGGAGTATGTCACACTCTCAGAATTTTAAAGTAATATTCAATGCTAGCTAGCTATTTTCTTATTGTACTAGTTTCCACAATTGGAGCTCTAGTACACATTGTCTCTTTTTGTCTCATGACTAACTTTAAATGATTGGTTTGAGATAATTTGGTTGATTTTTAAAGGTATCTGTATATGGAATGTTGTGACAGAGCAGGTTTCCTGGTAACTAGATGAAAGCAGGAGTTCAGAGCTGTGGTGTGAATGGAAGTAAAGAATGTAGGGAGCAGGAAAGGTCGGTCAGGATGCGACCGAACAAGGCTGCGAGGAGACAGAACGCATAGAGATTAAGAAGTGACAAAGTTTTCAGGTCATGTGAGGAATGAGAGCAGATCGTTGCTTCTCAGTCACACTGTGGGAAGACGCAGAGTAGATGAGATTCCAGTGAGCAGCAGGCGGCAGAGTTTGGGTAGTTATACTGCAGAGGCTTGATGAATGATGCTTCCCAGGTGTGCAGGCGGAAAAGAGACTTTGGAAAATGATGCCTCTTATTTACTCACATACTGTCACACACAGAAAACATGGGGGAGGATGAACAAGAGAGCGAACTGACATTCAGGAAGAGGGGAAAGGAAAGGAAGCCACAGGCAGTGAAAAAGGAGCAATGAAAGCTGCACTACGTCAGGAGAAAACAGCGGAGTTGAAAAGTACTAATCCTAAAACAAACATTTAACCGACATCAAATCTCAACTTGGATTTAAACAGAATAATTCCCCCCCCCCCAATAACCCTATGGACCCGGTGACTAAACAAGAAGTTTGTCAAGAAAACTTTAAATGATACAACTACTATCTTCATATTTCTGTCTTTTCTCTGTCCCACAGCTGGATCTTCAACTCTGAAGCTGCGGCAAGTCGAGTTCAGCATCGGTAAGCCTCTGATCCACCACACCGTTATTACATCATAGGATGGGCATTATGGCGGAGTGTGAAGTGCAGCTAGTTTATGTCTTTCTTTCTCTCTCTGTCTTTTCTGTCTCTCCTTCTCTCACTCTCTTTCGGTGTTTTGCAGATTTTTGTTCTCCTTGCACAAAATAACATTATTTGTATCTGGGTACACACAACAGGACCTTAGAAACTTTAATGAAAACTGCCCAGTAGGAAAATAAGTTTCCTAAAAATGGTTAAGAAAAGAAACTTTTTTAACAGATAAAGTTTATATGGCTTTAGCGTTGAGAGGGTGCTGCGGTTTAGTTTTTTTTAGGATCACTCATAGATGAGACATTGAAAAACAAATCTCACATAGCAAATAAAAGAAATAGGATTTTTTTTTTACTTTGCAGGTTTGAACAATATCAAACATAAGCTATATTACAAAGCAAGAATAATACTTTGTTTTTATGTGATATTGGCCGTATTAGAGTTGTGCTATTTTGGTAATTTAATGCATTTATTTATTGTATCATAGACGGCCATAAGAATAATTAAGGTTTCGGCTCCAAAAAGAGAACACCACAGGACTGTTTCTAAAGTCATGAATACTAAAATTTATGCATTACAAACACTATTAGTTCTGCAGATGGCCTTTTAGCACTTGCTCTGCCAAAATTTTTACCGGGAATAATGAGAGAGGTAGAAGACAGAAAAGGGACTTCTAACAGCCCTTTGCAAAGACCATACTCAAACAAATATGTTTCTGCAGCTGGAGTCAAACAATGATACGCCTGGAAAATGATTTCACTGCTGTTCAAATGTGCTTCTGTTTAAACAATAACAATACTGTAACAGGACATTTTAAATTGTATAAAAGCGGGTGTGAAAATGTTTAGATTTGACTTATTTTGGGTTTAAAGTTCTGTTTTGTACTGAAGCCCACAGCTTAGACTCATTCAGAATCAGTCTTCTTCCTAAATACCTATTTTCAGTTAAGTCAATACTTTTATTCTACACCACTCTAGATGTGATGTGCATGTTTGATTTTAGAAAAAAAAATCATTTCGATGACAAGGTGTAGCTCTGACCTTAAAGTTTTTTTGTTGGTTTAGTTTAGTTTAGTTTATTTAAGATCCCCATTAGCTGTAGCAAGCTACAGCTATTCTTCCTGGGGTCCAACAACAAAATATGAAATAAAAAATTACAAATGAAATAAAATTATGTGGACATTAAAACAACATCTCCCATAATCTATACATATACATATATACATACATATATACCGATATACATACACAGAAACAATCCAAACTAATCAAAACAAACTACAAAGCATAGCAAGTGAAGAAGACTGTGTACTCCCTCACAGTCCTAATCGTGTTTTACCTCTATATTTATTAAATGTTCTTTCAATGGTCTTTTAAATTTCCTTAAATCAGTTATCAATTTAATGCAATTTGGCAGTAAATTCCATGCTTTCATACCTCTATACATAACAGTTCTTATTAAGGCATTTGACTTTGCTTTAGGCAAACTAAAGTTTCCTTCAGTTGCATGCCTAGTCATGTATTCGTGATTCTCCGAACTAAAAGTAAGGTTTGTAAATAAAATATAAGGTGTTTTTAATACAGATACATTTCTAATCATAACAGTCAATGAGTATGAAAGTCTGTCTTTAACCAACAACCAGTTTAAAAACCTGAAATCTAAATTAGTAATTTTTTCTTAAAATAAGTAAATTTTTTCTTGATTTAAGGAGTTAAGTGAGACACTTAGCCAAAGGAAAATGACAATTCAATTTAAATAAATAAAAAATAATCGCATTTTCTTGTTTCAAGAGCATATTATCTAATTATCTTATGAGTGTAAAGCAGAGTTAAAATACTCATTCCATTGGCAAATCATATTATTTGCCTACTCAAATTAAGGGTAAATACACTTAATTTAAGAGATTCTTACTCACTTCTAGTTATTTTTTGCCCTGTGGTTTTTTAACCCCAGAGCTATGTGACTTTTTTTTTGGGGGGTCCTTGGTAAAGCACAGTGCCAGCGCGTCCATGATCTGTGGCCTACATGGAAAAGCATGACCTGCTGGTAAATAATTCAATCCAAGAGCACAAACATGATAGGCATAGCAGCATCCACATTCTTGTGAGGTAGAGTGTGTCGTAGGATCTTCACGGGGAAGTGGTGCTGATGCATAAAGACTCAGTGGATACAGGAGAGCATATTGCTGCAGCCTGAGTATCTAGCCGTGTTATTCCCCACAGATTAAAAGAGCCCTTCTTAATTTGCTGAGATCTGGTAGCAACTAATGGCTTGTGAAGAACACAGAGTGACCCAGAACCTGTGAGCAGGAGGCCTAATAAGGGCCACCAGTTTGATAGATCGATGTTTTTCCTTCATTTGCTTTTAAACCGAAGCACTTGTTTTACTCAGTGCACACAATACCTAACTATATATCAAAGCTTGATCTGCCCGTCTCTGTGGAACAGCTCCAAAGCAGACTGTAGACCAATATGTTCTCTAAAAGCATGTGAGGGTGTTTAAGGAGGATTTATGCTCTTGTTTTGTTCTTTTTTCAATTCCTGTTTAAGGAGATTGTATATGTGAATGAGCTGCAGCTGCTCCATATTCCACAGCTGTGAAAAATGTGTATAATGTGCCTTAACTGTTTTAATGTTTGTGTGTGTGTTTTGGGGTGTGGGGGGGGCAATTAACATTTAATGAGATAACTGTAGGGAAACACATTTTTACTTGAACAATGCTTTGCTAAGATGGTGATTAAAGGGAAACGGCTTAACTTTTGCATAAATTTCTGCTTGTTTATCATAAAAAAACCTCTTAGTCTGTTTGAATTAGACAAACCGAGGTTTTTTTCTGAATGGCTGATGCATCCTGATAGTTAGTGTTTACTCCTGCCAATGTTTCTGTACTTCTAAGTAGTATCATGTAGTATTTTTGTACTTCAGTCAGTCAGGATGTCTTTCGCTCTGCTTCTCATCATTCTCTGATGATTCCCATTTGTGGTTAGTGGAGTAAAACTAAAGGGCTGGACCCTCCGTTTAAAGCAGATTGAGGAAAATAAATGGAGGAAATGGCCATGTAACTTTAAGTACATCTTTTTCAAGCTGCCTTGGTTCAAATTCACTTCGTTTAAACCCTAACTTTAAATGAAACACAGATTTGAAAGGTTAGAAGCATTTATGCTTTTAAATGAAACACAGATTTATGCTGAATGATTATGATCAATTCCACACTTATTTTTGTCTTAAAAAAGTAATAAAACAATAATTATATATGAAGATTCAGACTGACTTTCTAAATACTTATTCACGCTGTTGTGAGTCAGAAGCTGCAAGTTGCAAGTTTGTGTCTCTCCCTCTGAAAATGTACTGTACATGATGGTTTCAATGTACTTTTTGATTTTCGATATCAAGTCTTGGTTAACATTTTTAAAATTTCTAATAAAATGTCACACAGATTTTTAAAATAGCGTGGCCAAAATAACCTGAAGAGTTTTTATTCACCTTCGGCTGCAAAAATATCAACACTAATATGTCTGTAGTTCAAGGGAAAGTAAGTTCATTTAAACAGTCGTTTTTAAAAACAAATAGGAAGCAGGAAGGGTTGACATTTTTAAATAAAACTGTTTCAAAACTGTCCCGAGTTTAGCTTCATCCAGCTTTCCATCTACACTCACAGCTTCCCTGCCTGTAAAACAGCATCAGTCCTTAAATAGCCTGAAAAATGCTCCGGTTGGTCTCAGAGCTCGTTACTGGTAGGAACACTGGTTTCCTCTCAGCATTAGCTTCTCTTATCCCTCATGCTAAACACCAGATATACAGAGGTCCCAGAGAGAGAATCTGATTGTTGTGAATAACTGTAAAAAATATTGTTGCAATAAAGTTCATTATGGAACTGCTGTTTCTCAGTTTTAGGACTCTAACTGAGAACTGTCACACTTTCAATGTGGAAAATATTAAGATGATATTCTGTTTATCAACAGGAGGCAGTATTTTAAACTGCCTAGATACTGCATCCAATGAGTTAAATCTTCATTGGAGATCATCTTTTCATTTAGTGAGATCATGAGGAAAAGTCAGTGAGACGCAACAATGAGGAAAACTCGGGAAGTGAGGTTGTTTTAGCATATAACTAGTAAATACTGGTTTTAGCTGCAGTCCATAATTCTCCCAGTGTAGCCACACAGCTTGTAGATTTCTGGAGCCCCTCCCTCAGGTCCTTTGACTGCTCAGCAACCCCGCTTCTGTTGGTGAGCCCCAAGGCAGCTGTGGCTGCGATGCAGCAAATCACCATCAGTGCATGAATTAATGGCTGAATGTAGTTTAAGTGTTTTAGTCAAGCCTCCTGACAAAAAAAAAGGACTATATAAGTGCAGGTTATTTACCATCCTTGGTTGATGATTTGCACACAGCTCTGTATAGACGCCCTAAGCCTGAAATATTGTTTTATAAGCTAATCCTGCTTTAATCCTCTTCACAACTTCCTCCCGACCTTCCTTGTGTTTATTTCTAGAATATTACAAAAACATTATTTATTCCTGCAGGGAAGTTCAATTATTTAAGCAGTTTGACATAAAAGATAAACATTTAAACACATTATAGATAAAACGATGCGCCGGACGACTGATATTTTTGGCCAAAGTTAGTGTTTTTTTTTTATTGTATCAGTGTTGGCTGATGCGTTCTCCTACTCATCAGTTGAAGCTCATTGCTGCTCCCTCCATCTGCTATCCATTGTCAATGACTTGTGTCATGATGGGTTTTCAGGTTCCTAACCCAAGTGCAGAACACACTCTGAGACAGGGAAAAATTCAACAGTTTATTGAACAAGGCACAGATAAATGCACAGATCCAGGGGGTTATCAGATCCAGGATTGGTCAGGACTGGGTTTACTGATCTGAAGATGAGCAGAGCAGCAGAGAGGGGGAGCCTGGAGAACCCAGAGGCAGGAAGTAGGCAGAGGGCTAAGA